GTGACGCCCCCCCGTTCTGATAACAGGATGTGCTCTTTAGCCTAATTAAGCACATTCATTAAAAACTAATGAGTGGAAATTGTAGATTGCTTGTGTGCAGGATAGCTAGAAAAGCCAGAAAAGTCGGAGCAGAAATGTTCTTTTCCACGTTAGGAGAAAGCTTTAATCTTCCGCCTCTCGTGCCCCCCCCATTCTTATATATAGTACATGGCGGAGTTTCTTGTACATGTATATGATTGTATATGATATATCTGGCATATGCATGTTAACAATCATAAAATTTCCTAAAATGTTACCCTTCGGAAAAGCTTCCATTTCTCCATATAATCATGAGGTTAAATCAAACCTGCTTGACACATTGCAAATGCCCCATTGTAATCCTATCGGATATGATCAAAATTTACGTAATTTACAAAATACTCCCAAAAATATTTGGCAAAAAAATTATGTTTCCGTGCTTTGTAATGTAATAGAGGGGCAGCGAGTAGGCAAAAATGTGTGTAACGGGACACGGCATTCAATTTCAGATATTGCCCCTCCCCCGCACATGAAATGGTACAGTCCGCCTCTCGTGCCCTACTCCAGTACTCGCGTCACCCCTTACTCGCAACGGGAGCCAAAAGCGACACCTAGCAATTTCAAATCAAACTTCACTCCGCCAGAGATTTGGTCATCCACCAGTCTTTGACGCGGGGGGGGGGGGTGTTGTAATGTCTTCAATTTGGCCAAAAGCACACCGGGTCACTCTTCTCAATATATTAAAGTGTGTTGGGTTCTTTTACGTACAGAGGATGGACGCTTGTCTGAGACTACACCATAGACGGACCGAAGGCTAAACTACTCTCCAAGCAGAGGTTGTGGGAGAATGATCGTTACCTTTTTATATATGGCCGTTTTTGTGTGTGTGTGTGTGTTTTTTTTTTTTTTTTTTTGTCGCTACCCCCACCAACCGTTGGTGGCTGGCGACCTTCTCTGGCTAATGGATACTGCCTGGCCAATTTGATATTGTCTTTTTGCCACCGAAAGGGATCTGCTTGGAGATCAGGCTAAACGCCCTCAAAGGTGGTGAAGACCACAGGTGGATTGTTTCTTCCTGTTTAGTTGCCAAAACGTTAACAACATTTAAGAACTCTTTGGCAGAATCCAGGCTCCTTGGGAATTCTTCCACCACCTCATTAAGGGTACATGGCAACGGGTCACACTGGCTTAGCCGTGAGAGGGGTGGAATAATACAGCATTGTGAGACCTGGCACACACATACATCAAGTCTCTATACAGCCAGCTGGGTTGGATAAGGGCTTGGCGAGCTCATGAAAGTCTAATCTGGGCTTCATTATTTTAAAAGATTCACTATAAAGCTACCGGGGTTCAACGCCAAGCTCCAACCAGTAAAAAAAAAGCTACACTACTAGAAATACATAAAAATGACAAAGACCGTATTGAAAAAAGCTGCAAAAAAGCTAGCCTTATAGAACTAGGGGTTTGGTGGTCTTCGTCTGTTTTCTGATTAGCCCAGTTCTATAAAAGGGGCTATGTTGTCTATATGCAATCAGAAAATAGCACATAAAAGCTCCCAAAGGCCCTGAAGACCCCCCCCCTCCCCAGTTTTTTGGCATACTATGGAGGCTACAAAAAAGCACTGTAATGAGCCTGATTCTTTAGTCTGGATTGAGATTATGACCTCATTGCAACAGAATGAACACCGGGTCGGTCGAGCCGGTCAAACAACTATTGTTCATAATCAGATATCATCAGGTGTCATCAGTGTGGAGAATTCACTACAAATCCTAACACTCAAAAGCAACCCCAACTTCTGTAAAAGAAACTCCTCATAGTTTTTATTCTCGTTTTGGTTTAATCGGAATAAATACCAAAATCCTGACTTGTTAGTTTCATGTTGGCGGTATTCTTCACGAAAGCTTTGGATGACAGAAATCGTACCCCCTCCCCCTTTATGACGAACATTGACGGGTGTAGTCTTCTTGTTGGCTAAACAAGCCCCTGTCCCACCGCCCACACTCATCACGCACTGCTTGGCCCTGTACAAGACCGACAGCCGAGGGGGCGACCTGCTCACAAAACTTCAACATTTTCTAGTTTTCCCGATTAACCAGACAACATGGCGTTTCAGACTATCTACTACCTCGTGGGTCTAACCCTTCTCGTCTCTACGGTAAGTGTTCAAGTGATTACTCCCTGAGGTTTAGCGTTGAATGAGATGTTTTACAACATATGCATGGTACAGTGTTGTCGCGTAGTGGTCTGAGAGTAGTCGTTTCAATCTTAGGCGTAGACTCGTAGGAAACAAAAACGGCATTCTCCTACATGGTAACATACTCACAAAGTGGTTAGAATTATGTGCTAGGCGATTTGCGAATGTAGATAATGAATATTGCAACGTTATGATCCATACAGTTGGAACAAAGGCACACTCTAAGCCCCGTTTTCAAGTTAGGGTTTGCAAATCACTTTAATTTGTTGTGATGACGTCAGTGTGACTATTCGCGTAAACAAATTTCCTTGAGGCCTCTGAAGACCCTCTGAATAGTCCGATAATCTATGGTCTTTTACGCACTTCGACACACATCAGATAATAGTGAGAACATGCGGTATGAGTAAAGACAGAATTAAAGTACTAAGTTACAGCTGGCAAAGCACTAGTACTTTCGGAGTTTTTTTGGGCAAATCCAGCGATCTCAGTAGACCTACGTCTGTCAAAACTAGCCTCTACCAGGCTTCGGGAGGCGGTTGGAAAGAGTAGAAATCGGCCAAATAGAGAAATAACATGCCAGGGGAGTTGGTCTGCTGGAGAGCAGTGGCAAACTAGTAAGTACTGTTCTCTCCAGCAGACCAACTCCCCTGGCATGCTATCTCTCTATTTGGCCGATTTCTACTCTTTCCAGCCACCTCCCGAAGCCTGGTAGAGGCTATGTCAAAACTAGCAATGTTAAAATAGATGTTTAACGTCTGTTGATGTCACAACCTTGTTATCGTGTGAAGAGTTAAAGCTGTTCAGCGGAAACTATATCCTCAGTGTAACGAAGTTAAGTGAAGCTCGAGTGATCCGTCCTTTGGTAAAGGTTTAGGGCTGTTTCAGAAAGATAAGAAGGGGATGATAGGCAATTTCACGCACCCCTCTTAGCCTCCATACCATAGCTTGCCAAAAACTGGGGTTTGGGGGGGGGGTCTTCAGGGTCTTTGGGAGCTTTTATGTGCTATTTTCTGATTGCATATAGACAAGATAGCCGGCCTGGTTGAATTACCCCCGTTTTTACGTAACTGGGCTAATCAGAAAACAAGCCGAGGACCACCAAACCCCCACGTTCTATAAGCCTGCTACGGAGGCTACCCCTCCTTGTCTATCGGAGTATAAATGACAATTAGATTATCCTGTCCACAATAAAATCATGATGTGCACGGTAAACATCACGTACGGATCAAAACCAAACAACTGGAGAAAAATGTACACATATATTTCAACGCGAGAGGATTGGAACATTACAAGAGATGGAATAAAAAAAAATTGTCTACTAGGGAGCTTAAATCCGTAACCTTCAATGTTTGTGTTACATTTGGCTTGGAGTTTGGATACAATCAATGTAAGTCTTCAGGTTCTTGTCCCCTCATACTTCGATATGTTCTGAAATATCTAGGTTTTTAAGTGGATTCGGTCGAATAGTTTTTGTCGTAGCTATGAATGCTAGTGTTGAATCCAGACATCCGACTTCCAAATCGCCCGCAGGCAGTGCGGTTTAACAATGTGATGACCGGAAATAAAGAAAGACAGTCCGGAAATATAGTCCGGAAATGCCGCATCTTCATGTAATCATGGGGGGAGGGGTGCAGGGTCGACAAGTTAAGTATGTTCGTCGGCGCCTTAAGTCTACTCTCCAAGCAGAGGTTGGTGGGGGAAGATTGTTGTTACCTTTCTAATATGGTGGGGGTAGCGACAGACATATAGGGGCCATATTAGAAAGGTAACAATCTTTTCCCACAAACCTCTGTTGCAGAGAACCATATGATTGACCTCGACATCAGTGGTTTATTCACATTGACATCAGTGGCTTATTGTCCTTGACATCGGTGGTTTATTCACCTTGAAATCAGTGGTTTATTCACCTTGATATTAGTGGTTTATTCACTTTGACATCAATGGCTTATTCACCTTGACATTAGTGGTTTATTCACCTTGACATCAGTGGTTTATTTCCTTGATATCAGTGCTTTTTCATCTGTTTATTCACCTTGACATCAATGATTTATTCACCTTGGCATCAGTGGTTTATTCACCTTGACAGCAGTGCTTTATTCACCTTGACAGCAGTGCTTTATTCACCTTGACAGCAGTGCTTTATTCACCTTGACAGCAACTGGTGTGTTACGCCCAAAGGCAGTTTACCGGTTATGCGAAACAAACAAACCTTGACACGAGTGTTTTATCACCTTGACATCAGCGGTCAAATGTGCGGCTAGTTGCCGCCTTGTTGTCTGCCCCACAGGCGATGTTCTACCTTATCTAACCCCAGTCAGCTGGTTCGGGTTAAGACGCTGGACAAGATAATCTCATGGCATGAAACGAGAAATGCCTGTATCAACGCCAACGTCTTATGTCTTGACATTGGACATAAACTGTGCACTAGTAAAACAGAAGGGAGGGGCGGAAATATTCAAGCAGATGTCTGGGGAGAAAATCGTACTGTTTTCTGACTGGCAAGGCGTCTGTGATAGACACTACATATGTCCACTAATCTCCAAGCAGATTCTATGGGACAATGGGCTTTTATTGTAATCTGTATGTCTGTCTTTTATGTCCTTATTTTTTATTTTGATGTGTCAAGTTGGCAAAAGTGGGTTGATGGGAGCGCTTGGACAGTAACCTGTCATGGGCAGCTTGAAACATTTTTTCTGCCTCCTTTCCTCTGTCCAAGTCTCTGTTCCGTTTAAAAGTTGAAAAAGGAGAAAATAGTTAAAACTCTTGTTTCTCATCTCTAGTTTTCCTTCTTTTTTGATTTAGTTATACCCCAATTAAAGTTTTTATATCAGTGGCCGCCTGTATCCATTGGCCACCCCACGATGGAAGTATTCAAATCTGTTTTTACATACTAGTACATTTGTGTTGTTTCAGTGTACAGCACAGGACGAAGTCGACGACAAAGATGCCAAAATCAACGAACTTCAAGGACAACTGGACCTCCTGAAGGCCAGAGTGGAAATGGTGGAAGAGCTCATTCGAGGTGCCTCATTCTTTTAAATTCACCTTTGAATGTCGTAGTTGTCATTTGCTACATCGTTGTAGTGCAAGTAGTGACAAAGAAAGTGATTGAAAGAAAGTCTTTTTGCTTTCATGTACGGAGGTTCTGTTTTCGTTTGATTTGTCTGTTTGCTTGTGTGTCCGTCGTTTTTTTTTAATGAAATGAAATACCTTTATTGTACATTCATGCCACGACGGGCTAGGTACATGTCAACATATAACAGACACATAATAAACGTATATAGGAAATTGGAGACAAAAGATGCACTACTTGACTTAGACATACATACATAAGGAACATACAAGGGTACTATACTAAGCTAATACAAAGTGTTCTAGTCAGTGAGCTAATATAGAGAGGTCAACTTCTTCTCGCTTTTTTGTACAGTGGAAAATGTGGGAGCAGATCATGTTTGTGATACAGGGTTTGTCTAGACGTATCAAAAATATAAATTTATCATTAGCACTTAGGTGTTCGAAGTATGGGAACTTCTCTTTGATATAATTAAAAAGGACAGATCTTTCATTAGAATATAAAGGTACTGGAGTTACGGGAAGTTAGGGGATGATGTAGAATTAGGGGGGGAGGTCGAATTAGAGGTCAAAATGGCCTCTCTCCGGCTGGGAGTGTCACAAGATCTCCACAACAACTCTAAATACTTCACGGAAGTGTGAAATCTTCATTTTCTTGTTCCCAACAGAAGCAGGCCTCCACATGCCTGATCCTAACCAGCCGACTGCGACAGAAGCGCCCAAGGCGAACAGGACGTCTACGGCGGCCTGCCAGTGTCAGGCGGGAGAACCCGGGCCCATGGGGCATCAGGGCTGGCCGGGGGTCCGGGGACAACCCGGGATGATGGGCCCCAGAGGTGAGGAAATATCCCAAGCAGTGTGCTGTATCAAGGAGCTTTCTTGGTTGTATCCAAAACCGTTCTCTCTGACTTCCGGAACCATGCTCAAGCGCGGTTCTCAATACGTCCACGCGTGTCCAGAACCGTGCCTAGGACAAATCTACGTTTTTGGATACGCGGAGACTACCTAACCCTATTCAGACACAGAACTAGATGGGCACAGGTGACAGTTCTGGGTGCTGTGAGCCACTAGTAGAGTTGATCAACCCTCACTAGTGCCACCTGGCGGTTATGGACTATATAACATTTAAAGAGGCTATATAGCTAGTAACTGTTGTTGGAATCGCATTACAGACGGAAAAGTGAGCTCCAGTCGAGCTTTAGAGTCTTCTAGAATGTTAAAGCATGTCTTTTTTTTTCAGGAATGAAGGGTGACATTGGTTCGCCTGGAAGGATAATTCTGACCGGAGAGCCCGGAGTGAAGATACCGGACGTGGTGCCCGGCCCGCCCGGCCCACCGGGTCCCCCCGGCCCGCCTGGTCCCCCCGGTCTGCAGGGTCTACCTGGCGTCACGGGCATGAAGGGAGAAGCGGGGCTTCCAGGTTTGTAATAACCTTTTAGCCACTACCTGCTCTCTTAGTATACTGTGAATCATGTTGTGATCGCAGTATTAAAAGTTTGTGGTCTGAGAAAAATGGACTTGTTCGTGGAACCATACGTTTACGGTGGTTGCAGGTGAAGCAAAAAGAACGTCTGCAAAGTTATACGTATACATATGTATGTAATCTATCCCGTCCATGTATAACAGGAGAATCAGCGACCATCCTTAGCGACGGCACCGGCGATGAGTGCAGTATGTGTCCGAGCGGACCGAAAGGCGATCGTGGCCCGAGGGGAGAGATCGGTTACCCCGGCCTACCGGGCCTCCAGGGCCGCTCAGGCATCCCTGGCTACCCCGGAGTTCCGGGAATGAAGGGACTTCGCGGAGACAGCGGCGCACCAGGTAGGAAGTTGGGTTTGAGATTGACGTGAGATTTGATAAACTTTTAGCAAGATATTCTTCCAAAGTTAGAAGGGTGGACGGGTGTTGTAATGTATTGTGATTCAGGGTTTATTTTTAGCGCAACATGACTACAGTACAGAGAATGTAGAAGGCATATCCCACAATACACTGCGGTTCTGACTACAGTGTGTATATATGGAATTCGATGTATGAATATATTACAGTTAAAATATTACTACAACAATGATCGACGGCAGTGATCAGAATGGTCGTCTGGAACGCTGTCAGAAACAAAGACTTAGTAGTAGAACAGGTATCGGTAAAACAGTCCTAAGAAGTCCCGAAGAGTTACCTGGCTAGCTTCCCATTGATTGTCATTTTCCTGGAAGAGTTGTAACATCTGTGTATAATTCCAGGAACCTGCGACGCTTCCACTTGCGGAGGGGAGGCCAAGAAAGAACGCGGGAAAAACAGAAACCGCGGCGAACGCAGGAAGGGCAGGCGGGGGAAGGGGCGCAGGCGCAAGAGCGACAAGGAGAACACCAGCACTTTTCACCCCGCACCTGTTCCTACCCCTACTCCCCCTCCGTCTTAAATGGTATGGCCCAGGTCCTAGCAACTGAGTAGTAGAGGAAAGGGAAAATGCAATATAGTTTTGGGGGTGGCGAATATGGTAAATGCGAAGATGCCTAATTTTCCAAAGCTATGTTGCACCATAGAACTTTCCAGTTTCCATTTTCACATGTACTTGAATTGAACATTTATTATCATAACAGCACTTGGTGACTATTGTGTTTCCTATATAGATTTTGATTTGTTCTATACCATCGTATTTTACTTAATTTTGACATAGACCTCAGTTTTTATCCAAAGATTTTTGAAAAAAAAACACGACCTGACATGTGTTCGCCTGGCTAATAAACAACAAACAATAGAATGAAATACACTTGCATAGAATGAAATGTATGTAATAATATGGCATGGTGGAGAGAGATATATTGATATGTGATGTTGTTAGGCAAATGTACACTTATTAATGGCACAAGAATAAACAATATCTAATGGTGTCAGTGTCTAGTGTGACTTAATGACTTATGTTACATATCAGAAGTAGACTAGGATCACTATAGATTTGGTAACGGTCCTATAGCTCTTTGGAAGTCCTAGGGGCAGTGGGTTGTTTATGATCCATTGCATTTTACATAAATTATTAGAAGTCGGAGCCCATCCCTCTTTTGCCCCATCAACATACTCCTCATCATAGTCTCTGTCAGAAAACAAGTACCAATCGGGCAAATCGAAGATATATAACGATCTACTCCCTCAATCTTTGTTTGAAGAGTCAAACAACTGGATTAATTAAAAGTAAGCTCAACAGGCGCCATATTGGAATAGAGGATGCTGGGAATGTACCACGGTGATACAGTACGTAATGACATTCGTGGGACGACTTGTACTTGCACTCGGCGAGCTGAACAACTTCACATATCAATTATTTACAAACAGCGACGTGCTGTTACACACAATTGCTCGGGGAAAGCTAATTGCAAGAGGTAATTGCATGAATCGCACCTTAATGGCATCATTTTCGAGCCGAGTAAGCGTTTGTCATCTCATGTGTGCAAGTTCACAATTACATGTGACATTAACTCCAGGGGGATGTATACTACTTCAGTAATGATTTTTTCTTAGGCCAGACTGACCTGAGGTTATGGATATCATCTTCATACCCAAAACTGATGCGAGTGCACGAAATGAAATTTAAAAAAAAGGGCAGTGAAGAAAAAAAGGACAAGATGAAATAGACAATAAATAATTTATCATTGTTCTTTGCCTTTGGGAGGTACTACGCCTTACAAGCTTGTGTCGGAATATTCGACATATTATCTTATTTTACGTTGACGATTTATTGCGTTGTGGCAAATTCATTTCGAAAAGCAGTCTCCAACAAGCCGATCGTTGTTGTCGAAAATATTAAAATTTAGGTTGTTGTCGAAAATATTAAAATTTGGGTTGTTGTCGAAAATATCAAAATGTAGCTAGATAGCTATAGGGAGACTAATTGGCCAACTTTGGCCTCCCTTCTGGAACCTCCTAAATTTCTTTTTTTTCCCTTTTCCCAAGGGGAAATAGTGGAAATGTTGCCTTTACCACGGCTCAATTTCTCGGCCAATTACTGATCCAATATCTGCAGGGTGGAGGCTAGTTCCTATCGGGTAGCCTCCTGTGCAGGCCTCCGGGCGGATGGGAGTTTTGATACATTTTGTAGAATTTTTAACGCGTTCTTTTGCCGGTCATCCTACAACCATCCGCCCAACGGATGGCCGGCAAAAGAACGCGTTAAAAATTCTACAACATGTATCAAAACTCCCACCCGCCCGGAGGCCTGCACAGGAGGCTACAAATGGGCCTTTTGTTGTTGTTGAAAACCATTGTGAAAATCAATGCGCGCGCAGATGTCATCCATAAAATTAGGTCACGATCGGTGTGCCCTGCGGTAACAGCGGGGACAAAAGGCGCACAGCTGTTCACTTCTCTTCTACCGCCGGTGAAAAGCACGATTTTAATCCCTAGTGCGTCTCATCTTTCATTTACGCTAATGACCTCTAATGAGTATTGTCCAAACAGATGTCCCGTGCATGCGTGCGTGTGTGCGTGTGTGTGCGTGCGCGTGCATACATGTGTGTGTGTGTGTGTGTGTGTTTGTTTGTTGTTAAGTTGCTGTTTGTGATCTTGGTTGTGTGCAAGTGTACGTGTGCGTGCATTGGTTAACGTAGTATGTGTTGGCCTTTTCATCGTTTCTACTCTCTAGTGTTGGCCTTTTTTTCTGTTCCACCTTCCCAAGAAGACGTGCCACTAGAAATAGACACTGAAAAACAGACAGGGCCAAAGAAGCCCTTAACATCTGCTTGGAGTACTGTGCGGGTCGCTCCTTGGGTTCTTTGGGGACCATTGTTTCCTAGGGGGTACCTGGCATTCATGAAAATAGATTACGCCCTGTGGGTGAGAATGAAAAGAAAGCGGTCAATTAAATTTGAGTAACCTCCTTCCTTGGCTTGAGTGGGCCAACGTATAACGATAGTAATTTTTCTGGCCATACTCTGGTCATAAATTTTAGAGAAAAAAAAAAAACTGGGATCAGGAATAGGAAACTTGGAGTTACGTACTCTCCAAGCAGAGGTTTGGGTCCAAAGTTGGCGTAAAAAAGGTACCAGTACAAAAAAGAAAGCCCGATAAAAAAACCTAAAATACACGCGAAGAATAAGCCCAAAACCCAAACCTCTGCTTGGAGAGTAGGCGTTCTGGAGATTACGGTTCGTCATGTAACGTTACACGAGCCAGCTGTGGAACAAATTATACACATATGAAAGAGGCGAAAAGAGCCTGAAAAGCCTCAAACTTCAAAGTCCATGAAAAACTACAGATCAAAGAAGCTACATATATTTGATGAATGAGCCGCAGCCCTTTTTAAACCCGATCGTAACGTTTTCTGGCCCGGTTTAACATTTCCCAGCAAGCCATTGAAAGTCAGAAAAGGTTAGGACATCCCTGCCAATATCTGCTTGAAGCAGGCTTGAAGATTAGAACCAGGAGATTACGTAAGTATTTCCTGCCTCCTTTGGATCATGCCACAGTGAATCGGGGGATACGGAAAGGTAATACATTTTATCACGCAAATATAAACGTAATAATAATCTTAAAGCCGATGATACAATAGATAATTAGTTAAATTCTCTATAATATATGAATTTACTGGATAGAAACGTCCTATAATGTTACAATTTGATAAAAAATATAAGCTAAACCCTCCCCACAAAGAATGGTTTCTCCTACAGGGGCACCGGGGGAATACTCCATCATGTGTCTGGGGTTTGCCAGACACTGACAGGACGTATGCAAATTACTTCCATATACGGTAACACAGGGAACCCAGGGGTGCACAGTTGGGGTTGGGGATCTCCTGTCGCCCTTGTTCGAGCTGTCAAAAAATCGGTGGCGAGGCCGGCCGAGAGGGCGAAAAGCACATGTATGCCTTGATGCACCGTATGTAACACCGATACATATGTAACGGTACCCAACGGGTTTCTCAAGCGGACACCAAGTAATGATTCGCCGCCGGTCGACCGTCTAAGGTACGTAACGGTATCCGTGTATTTTCTCATCTTACAGTAGAGTGAAATGTGTGTGATTCAATGTTTCCGGCGATAGCGCCCCCCTCCCCCATCCATCCGCTATATATATATAAGGAAATCTACTATACTAGATGACTGGAATATTAATAGTTTCATGTCGACTGCGTTTACGAATATATAAAAAAACAGGGTTATTTCAATTTCATAATCCAGGGCTAAATGATGTAGCAAATACATTAAAAATACGGAGATGATGGCAAAATATAACGTTATACCAACTGCTTTTTAATTTTATGCCTTTCCAAAACCAGTACCAAACCCATAATTATGTAAGGTTATGTCTGCTGCTGAAAAATATTCAAATTGAAAATCGAATCCCTCGACTCGCCCCGGAACAACGATAGTATTACACACTCCAAACCTTGTTTGACCACATCAAGTACCCATTCAAGTGGCGTGCATGCGTGAGAAAAGCGCTTTATCCGCATTTAATTTTTTTCCCAAACAAGCTTTATGAAATGAAAATTTTAATTTTGTAAATATGTAGATCAAGTTCCATGAACCTTCGTTCCCTAACGTATTGCTTCTCCAGAATATCCCTCATTTATTTGAGCAACGATCGGTATGAAAATAACCTTGTTTATATCACAACGATCAAATAACATGTCATGTGTCAGTGTGTGTGTCCTGTGTAAATATGATAAGAAATCGACACAGTTCCCCTTCGCCTCTTCTAAAAATCATTCTTGTATCGAACTATTATAGAAAGCTCTTTTTATTGTCTGATACGATAGATGTATGTTAGGTTGTTATAATGACAGCTGGGGTTATGTATTGGGTGTGACAGGTCGCTTGATTTTGATATGCAACTTATAACGATTCTTGTGCCTGCGAAGCCGATGTGTTTCGCCAAAGGTGCGTGTATAAGCTCAAAAATCAGACCACAAAAGCCTACAACCAATCAATCAATTAGTTGATCAATCAATCAATTAAGAGAATTGTATTAAATTCTAATATCCAAGGTTTACAACTAAGAGAACAATAGATGAAACCATGCGCAAGGACCGATTTAGAAATTATTGACTCTGAAAATATTGTGTCACTTCGTCGTCTAATTGTCTTTCTCTTCATGCAACTAAAACGTGTATTCCCCAAGGAAGATATAATATGATTTTCTAGCAGTCGATGTGGCGAATCTATGCCGAGTTGTTGCTAAATGTTGATGAATTTTGACCTCCAGAATTATATCATGTAACGTAATCTTTAGCTGCTACACTCAGCCATTCTCACACACCATTAATACGTGGTATTTACAGTCATCGTAAAAATGTATCTTTGTACCAACGTGTTTTAGTAGGATCTTTATTGTCTGGTCGCCCCTGAATATTATTTCAGGCGCTCTGTGGCAGACATTTCAACAGCCGGCTCTGTATCAGTATGTGTGACCTCTATTTGGTACGAAGACTCAACCACTGTTATTGTAGGGGTGTTCCGGACAGGTTTAGGGAGAGATCGTTACCTTCTTCTGATTGGTACACACTTGCTTGATACCTTCTTCTGATTGGTTCCTAAAGATTGGTACCTTCTTCTGATTGGTTATCTCTGATTTGTACCTTCTTCTGATTGGTGCCGATCTTCAATTTGTCTGACACGGGCACCAATCAGAAGAGGTAACGATCTTTCCCTAACATCTGCTTGGAGAGTACTCGCTAACTACTTGGCACGGTGATATTGTTTTAAACCTCCCACATTATAGACGGATTATTCATCCTACACGTAACACATTGAGCGTTAAAATCGTTTTAACATTTACACTCATAAGGGAGGGGCTAAAACGTCTACTCACAGTCACACGCATATATATACAAGGATTACAACGTCAAAGTGTTGTTTTAAAATGTCTAAACATCTTGTAGAGCGATCGAAGTGACGTCAGGCGGATGTGGTAGAATTTGTAGAATTCCCTGTAGCTGAATCACAAGGGAGGAGCTGTGATTTCGTGGTTTCGCGTGTCCACTTTAATTTGTATAATATATGAGCTGTGGTACAATTTACGCACATTGCTTAGTGAATAAAATGGTAACGTGTACGTAAAAAAACTGTTGCAAATTTCCGTTAAAAAAATCGCATTTTTGAGTGAGTCACTTACTTAGTGCCTGATGGTACGCCCCTCTATTTCAGAATGGTCCGACCCAACGTTTTGGGGCCACCGGTCGCCGACTTTGTTGGTATCAAACTTGGCGTGACGTTCTAATCCTATTATAGTTACATTTAGCACGATTTAACAGAACGGTGGCAAGTGTTTTTGTTTTTATTTGAAACCTGATACGCGTTTTTTTTCGCACAATCCAATAAATTTTAAGGTTGGCCCTAATTATTTTTGTATGGTAGCGACTCTCCCCTTTCCTAGAATGGCCGTTTTTTTTTTTGTCTGGTTTTTCTCTGTCAATTCAATTTGTACACAGCGCATTCCTACAGCCAGGGACGAGCCAGTGTTTAAGCCTCGGGGATGTCTAATATTACGCTGCTGTACGTACAAAGCAGTCGCTACCAGGCTAACAAACGTACGCGGCCTGAGCGAGAATAATTTGCCGAATCGTACTATCCAAAGAAGGCCTGGTAGAGACTATCGTAAAAGAACCCAACACACTTCTGGAAAAAAAGTGGGTGTGACCCAGCTGAAAAAAGTTAAAACGCGAACGGCACCATTGAACTACCACTACTCGCTACCCACAAAAAGTGTTACGCTTCACTTCAGTTTTTGCCGTAAGGCTTTACTGTGTTTGGCATAGCACAGACTTAACACACAGGAGACACACTCCACGCGTCTTAAGGCGTTGCCATGGCAACCGCGGTCGCTTGTTGACCTACTCAGGGTCGAGTGGGCCCCTTTTAGACAATTAAGGCTGAAAGAAGGCTCTTAACACCTTCCTCTCGTTTTCTTAGCAAACGAAGTCAACGCTGATTTAAATTTCGGCGATGTCACAGTGGTAGTAGAGAAAATACACCATCCAGTGTTCTAAAAACCCCTCTGTGCATTCTCTAGTCTCTTTGGCTTTGCCAAGGTTTTTAGAAAGAAGTAAGAGGACCTTTGCTACTTTAGTTCTTGTGTGTACAGTCACAGACAGTGTTTAAAAACAAGCCTGAGATCGATTGGTAAAGGTGGTGATGGGATCGCGTTTGTCCGTTTCAACATGCGAAAGGACGGGTTAAAAAGGTCCTGTAATGCCTCAACGTTTTACCCAAGAGACGGCTAGTCAGAATCCAGACCACCGAGCTGATTCTGGTATATTTGACCTGCAGGGCGTCGGGGAAAGTTCAGTAATGATCTTGGCTGGAGGATGAGATCGGAACAAATGTGCGGCGGCGGAGGGGGGGGGGATAATTTAGGCAACAACTAGAAAAATGCATCTTGTTTACCTTTACTACTGCTTTGTTTATTCTTACTCAAACACACTCATATATATGGTGAGAATGCAGCCCCTCTTGAACTGCATGGCATTTGTGACATTATGTGACCCAACACCCGTTACCATGGTGACAGACGTCTGGTCCTGGTCATTGACCTTATTTCTTTGAAGAAGAAGAAGAAGAGGAAGAAGAGCAAAAACAATATGTTTTTCTTCTACGAAGGTAAACATGAATACAGCGGTAGTACGACAGGTTTTCAGACCGATATTTGACGGAAAAAAAACGGGGTTCAACAACTGCTGTTAAAAAAAAAACTTTTTTTCGTGCTAAAATGTGTAAGTTTATGCTTATCTTGGTGTTACGGGCGCTGTCATCATTTCTGACACGTACATGTTGCTCAAAGTTTATGATGGCCCCTTTAGCGAAAAATTGATTTAGTAATTTTGCTTCAGCCGGTAAATTTCCGACCTTAGAGTTCATGGTCACCGTTATTTCATTAGTTGCTCGCGCAGTGTGGCGGCCTGCCAACATTTTTATCGAAACTTTCTCCGCTGATTTAATCTCCAGCGCTGTACCCGTTATAGATGCTTTCGCCGCGCAAAATCACATCAATTTGTCATGTTTTCAATAAAGTTGGTTATGATGATCTTTTAGATACAGCTTTCCTAACATATACTTGCAGCTGTTTTAGTGGCAATTTTGTTACCACGTACCGTGAGCGGAAGTTTTGTTTTTGGTATGTTTGTGTGTTTTGTTTCCGTACTCATTTGCACCTGCTAGGGACAGAGAAAACACTGACAGGAAGTTAGGTCAACGGTTCCAGAAAAGGTTATCTCATGTCCTGTCCTCAATTTTGTTACCACCTTGTGCGGAAGTTTTGTTTTCGGTATGTTTGTGTGTTTTGTTTCCGTACTCATTTTCACATGCTAGGCATATCGAAAAAACTGACAGGAAGTTAGGTCAACGGTTCCAGAAAAGGTTATATCATTTCCTGGGATATGCATGTCTGTTGTAGTCTTGCCTTATGGTATCCCATGGAAATTTAAGGTTATAATGAGCAAAAACGCCACAAGAATGAAGAAAATCTCAAAAGCTTTCAATATTTCACACAGGTATGAAATCTTTTCTCGGGCGTTTTGCCAAGCTAATACCGATTCTTAACGCACGTTCGCACGTTTTATTAAAACCAAACCAAAACGCCATGTTTCTCCGTCCTCTGAGAGATCTCGACGCGTTTCGTTGATGATATTTTCCCCATTAAGTTGGATGGTTCAATTAAGTCAGCGTTAATTAGAAAAGATATGATCTAGCAATAAACGTAGCAACTTTATTACGTCTGTAATGTGTGACTATTTATCGTTACTGCATTATACATGAATCTCGTTTAGGTCGATTTACCTTTTGCAATTTTTGGTTCATTTGGAAAGACATTTAGATATGGTTTTGTTATTTCCAAATATACGCGAAAGCATGAAATCGAAACTGTCACACCTCCCTTATTATAGTTATTTAGAATTTTTATGAACTTCATGTTTTATGTATTATTGAGAATTTCTCGGCGATGTTGTATATGCACTACAGGCAAACGC